CTTTTTATTAGATTTACCCCTTTTCCACTACTACTCGTGGCATCATGTCGAGCAAATGTATGTGCTTCTTTGGATTTTGCTTTTGCATTTAATTCTTGTTGTTGAAACGTTTTAAGTTTTTTCTCTGGATCAAGTAATGATGAAAAAAACAACCAAACGAAATATTCTACCATGATTTTCTTTAATACACGTTAAAAAAGCTCGACATTCACCATATAAAGCAACATTTTCTGAACTCATTAAATATTCTTTCATCATTATAAGACGTGTAATAAATGGTTTAAATATTATATTTAATATAAATCTATCAATACCTTTTGGTCCAACACCAAGTTGTGTATAACTAAAATTATTTGAATATGTTTGTCATAAATTTGTATGACTTTTTGTTGAAACTAAATACGATAAAATATAAATAAAAATATATAACTATTTGAATATATCTTACTATAAGGTGCATAACGTGGAACAATAACATTTCGCTCCAAACAGTAACCACGTAATCCATGAATTATATCAAGTATATGAACAAGATAACTATTAAGAGTTTAATTAAGAAAAAAAATATCTAATTGAATAAAAAGATTTTATTAATAAAAACAAACCTAGTAATATATACTGTTTTCAAATTGACGTCGATTAAGTAAACGAAGTTTATTTAATGATAAACGAACTTTATAACCTAATCGATCAGATGTAAAACTACGACCACGTGGTCAAAAAGTAGGACAATCTTATCGTTTTATTATTCTAAAATATAATTATTCGATATTTACTATCTTTTAATCTTTACCAAAAATATTAATTAAAATTAACTTAAGAGTGTACGTGTGGATGACAGACCAATTCATCGGTCATCTTTCAGATAAAGCCGTGATCATGAATTTCGAATTTATAATTAGCTAGTTGATATATCCCTCAGAAGCTCTTATACACTGCACTCAGACGCAATTGTATAAAAAATTCTTTCTAGTCAACCTTTTTATTACTGATGAGATTTGCTTTAGTTCGCTCCATATTTGTATAACAACTATCCTATAAAACTAGTTGACTTTTGCTTCATATATTATAGATTAACTTATCAATGTACTGTAACGAAACTTTTTTCGAAAATACCAAAATTCTAACTATTAAAAAAAGTATATATCTGATACTTACTTGAGTGTAATCTCAACAGCTAATTCAATGTTTTTCTTCTTCTTTCACATCAATTTGTTTTAACTATTCCTCAACTTGTTCATATGTAGTTGTTGTTCCACTATTTCCAACAGTTAATAATTGTTTTTTATGCATATTATTCTTCAGATAGTGATATAATAGCCAAATCAAGTAAAACGTCAAGAATATTTATAACGAATTCACAAACTTTAAAATGATATTTTTTACATAATAACTGATGTTTTGAATATAATAAATGAGATTTTATTGATTGTTTTATACGCTTAATTACATTCCGTGTAACTTACTCGATTTTTCTTCAAAGAGGAATAATAGTTATGTTTATGATGATCGATGACTGATACGCAACATAATTCTCTAATTCTATCTCAATATGATTCATGTTAATCGTTGGTTGAAAGGGTTGAATCATCAATGGTTATTGTATCAAACGAGCGAATATTTTTGTAAAGTCTGTTCAAACTGACAGACTTCAATCGAATGTGATCAAGCCTGAGGAAGTTGACTCGTCTGATTCGCCGATAATAGCCACAGAATACAAAATGACTTCGATTATGACATAAACTTTTATTGTTATAGATGGCGTCGGAAAATTCTTTTTAGGATAATGAAATTTGAGTTTTTCAGAAATTAACTCGAATACGAGTACATATTTCAGTCATAAAAAATAAGATAAAATAGAATAATTATCTAAGAACTTTTTTGTCTTCTATTTTGGCTATCTGCAGAAGAATCTCGATCGTATATAAGTTTTTGCATAAAATA